CAGCGCGACACCGGAGGAGGAGGTTATAGCGTTACTTCCGCAGCTGATCCCCGCAGCACGTTCCGCCCGCGTGTCTCGCCGAGGAACCTGTCGTGGCAACAGCGTCGGCGCCGATTAAGGGGCATCGCGGAGGGGGGCAGTGTTGCCAGACGGGGGCGGGGATGGGGGGGGGGGTAAAGGGTGTCTTCCAACCCCATCCCCGTTGCTATTTTGTTGGTGTTGATGGTGATGGTGATGATGAGGAGGAAGAGGATGATGATGATGATGATGATGATCGTGATGATGATGATAATGATGATGATGAGGAGGAGGAGGAAGAAGAAGAAGAAGAAGAAGAAGAAGAGGATGATGATTATGGTGTTAATGATGATGATGATGTTATTCTGCCTCTTCTTTTTATTATTTTCGTTTTTATATACTGTTAGATTTTTCTCCCTTCTTTTTTTTTCTTTTTTTTTTGGGGGGGGGGGTAAGGGCTGTAGGGTAGGGGGGGTGAGGGGCGAGGGGCCTTGATATACTGCTAAAAGACCTGTTTAGTTACTTTAGCGTCCCATATACACTCGTTCTCCGCCTCCGCCTCCCCCTCCCCCCTCTTTCTCTGTTTGAAAAAAGTGACTTGTTTAGTTACCTTTTGCGTCTGGTTACCATTGGCGCCCCCCTCGCCGTGCCCCCCCCCCCCCTCGGCTCGCCTTTACATTCTCCTTTCCCCTGCTCTCCTATCCTCTCTCTCCTCTCCTCTATCCTGTCTCTCCTCTCTCCTATCCTCTCTCTCCTCTTCCCTCTCCTCTCTCCTCTTCTCTTTCCTCCATCCTGTCTCCCCATTCTCCTCTTCCCTCTCCTCTCTCCTCTTCTCTTTCCTCTATCCTGTCTCCCCACTCTCCTCTTTCCTCTCCACACTCTCCTCTTTCCCTCTCTCTTCTCCTCTCTCTCTCTCCTCTTTTCTCTCCCTTCTCTTTCTCTTTTCCTTCCTCCCTTTAACCTCCCCCTATTCTTCAGTCTCCCATTCCCCCTCTTTTTTCCTAATCTCCCTTCTCCACGGACCGAATGGGAATAAGAGAAGAGAATAGCTTATGATATATGACAAATATTGATCAATGGAGATCAATAGAGAGAGAAGTGGATAGAGAGAGGAGAGGAATGGACAGAGAAAGGGAAGAGTCAGAGATATGAATAAAGAGTGGAAGGAGATAGATAGATAGAGAGAAAGAGAAAGGAAAGAGTCAGGAGATATGAATAAAGAGTGGAAGGAGATAGATATAGAATTGAGAAAGGGAAGAGCTAAGGGATATGAATAAAGAGTGGAAGGAGATAGATAGAGAATTGAGAAAGGGAAGAGCCAAGAGATATGAATAAAGAATGGAAGGATAGAGAATTGAGAAAGGGAAGAGAGATGGATGGCGAGGGAAGAGGCGAGGACAATGAAGACGGAAATAATTGGATAGAGACAAGACTTTGTTGAGAAGGAAAAAAACTTTGGAATAAGAAATGCGAAGCGGTGGGTGTAATAGAATTAAAAAGGAGGGGATTTACGAACGAGGAAAAATTGGTGAATTATATACTTTATATATTTTGGGCCGTTCATTTTTCGTGTCTTATCGGGGCGGTTCGCATCTTATCTGGTGATAAGAGATTTCTCTCGTTTTGCTTCTCTCTCTGTCTATTTGTCTATCTGTTTACCTTGCTCCATATCTCCCTTTCTCCCTTCCTCCCTCATCTACTCTCTCTATCTATCTATCTATCTTTCTCTTTCTCTATTTCCATTTGTCTGAATGTTACGTATGTACGCATGTATAGGTAAACAAGAAAAAAAGAAAAAAAAAATAGGTCGACAGATAGACAAACAGACAGAAACAGACGGACAGAAACAGACAGACAGACACTGACAGACAGACACTGACAGACAGACACTGACAGAGAACAGAGAGAAAGATAGACGCATATTTATTCACACAGTCACACAGACCTCCGCGACACAGACAAACCGACCGGCCGACGCGACACAGAAACAAGACCGGGCGAGACCGACAGCAAGACAGGTGTCTATGGGAGAGGAAGAAAGTTGGTCCGGACCGAAGGCGGCGGGTCTGGCGGGTCTGGAGGCGCGCGAAGCAAGAGTGAAGCGAGGACTTTCCCCTCCAGATGGCGCCCAGACACTCCCTCGGCGGCGAAGGGTTGCGGTGGAGGAGGAGCTTGGAGCTGGAGCTTACTTACTTACTTCCCCTTCCAACCCCCTCAACCCCCCCCCCAACCCCTCCAACTCCCCCAATTCCTCCAACCCCCCCACCCCCCCACCCCCTCCAACTCCCCCAATTCCTCCAACCCCTCCATCCCCTCCAACTCCCCCAATTCCTCCAACCCCTCCAACCCCCCCATCCCCTCCAACCCCCCCCCCCCCCAACCCCTCCAACTCCATTCCTAACCCTCCTGTTCTGCTGATGTTCCTGCTGATCCGCGTGAAAGCACCGCGGTGTTCGGATATCGCTGTGGGGGTGGGTGGGGGGGTGGGGGGAAGGGAGGGAGGGAAGGGGCGGAAGGGAGGGAAAGGGTGGAGGGAAGGATGGGTCGATGGGGGGGGAGGGAGAGGAGGGAAGGATGGGTTGGTGTGGGGGGGGGGGGGTATGTAGGTAGAGAAAGGGGAGGAGGGAAGGAAGGTTATGAGGAAATGGGTTGAAAGGGCGAAAGAGGTAAGGGTGGGTGGGTGGGGGAGGGAGGGAAAGGGAGGGGGGATAGGGTAGAAGGTGGGTGAGAGATGGGAGGGTCGAGGGAAGGAGTTAGAGAGGGAAGAAAGGAAGGAGGAAGAGTAAGAGGGGAGAAAGAAAGGGGAATTGAGGGTATTAGGGTAGAAGAAAGGGAGAGAAAGGGGATGGGAAGGAACAAGAAAGGCAGGGGAAGAGGAAGAGCGAGAAGGAGAGAGGAGTCGGGGAGAATAGGGGAGAGTGAGAGAGAATAACGGAGATTATGGGAGAGAGGGAAGGAGTGTAGTCGGAAGGGAAGGAGAGGGAAAAGGGGCGACAGAAAGAAAGAGTGAGAGAGGGAAGAAAGGAGAGAGAAAAGGAAAAAGAAGAGAGGAGTAGGATGTAAAAATAAAAGGTAGAAGATAGAAAAGGCTATAAATATTTCAAGATGTAAAGATATAAAAGATAGAAAATTGGAATCAGCTGGTGGCTAAATACAAACGAAACAGAGAGAGAGAAAAAGGGAAAGAGAGAGAGAGAGAAGAGAGAGAGAGAAGAGAGAGAGAGAAGAGAGAGAGAGAGAGAGAGGGAAAGAGAGAGAGAGAGAGGGAAAGAGAGAGAGAGAGAGGGAAAGAGAGAGAGAGAGAGAGAGGGAAAGAGAGAGAGAGAGAGAGAGAAGAGAGAGAGAGAAGAGAGAGAGAGAGAGGGAAAGAGAGAGAGAGAAGAGAGAGAGAGAGAGGGAAAGAGAGAGAGAGAAGAGAGAGAGAGAGAGGGAAAGAGAGAGAGAGAGAAGAGAGAGAGAGAGAGGGAAAGAGAGAGAGAGAGAGAGAGGGAAAGAGAGAGAGAGAGAGGGAAAGAGAGAGAGAGAGAGAGGGAAAGAGAGAGAGAGAGGGAAAGAGAGAGAGAGAGAGAGAGAGAGAGGGAAAGAGAGAGAGAGAGAGGCAAGAGATAGGAGAGAGATGAGAGAAGAGAGAGATAGAGAGAGAGGGAAAGAGAGAGAGATAGAGGGAACGAGAAGAGCGAGAAGAGATAGAGAGGAGAGGCGAAAAGAGATGAGACGAGTGACGAGAGCGAGACCTGATGACACAGACGGGAAGGAAGGAATGCAGATAACAGGCAGGGTGATAACAGAGCAAAAAAAAAAAAAAAAAAAAAAAAAAAAGACATAAAAAGAGAAAAGACATAAAAAGAGAAAAGAAATATTAAGGACGAAAGCTGTAATCAGTTAAATTACTTCATAAAAAAGAGCAGAGACATTGCCTTGGTTACTGTATTCTAATGTAATGTCCTCTCCGTCTGCCTGATATAGTTCACCTGTTCTGAGATAAGGCGCGATCGAGATAAAACTTAAACTGTCACAGAGATAAGGTGATAAAAGAGTCCTGGACAGATAGACAGACAGCGTTGGTGCTTCTACGTTTTGTGGAAAAAAAAATAAATAAAAGATCCAACGAAGGGAAAAGATGATTGTTTGACGTTTCGATCTGAATACGTTTCCTTTTCGGGGGTCCGCGTGGGGGTGGGGGGTGGATTCAAGACGGCCTCTTTAATGGCTTCTGTAAGCTTTTTATGTCAGTTGTTATTATTGTATTATCGCGTTTCGCTGCGTTATTTTTCGCGAAGTTACGAATGCCACGCGGACTCGTTTTGTTCTCTCTCTCTCTCTCTCGCTCTCTCTCTCTCTCTCTCTCTCTCTCTCTCTCTCTCTCTCTCTCTCTCTCTCTCTCTCTCTCTCTCTCTCTCCTCTCTCGGCCGACATATGTAGGAGATTGTCATTGCGGCCGACAGAAAAACCAACAGGCTCGCCACGTCTTCGCGGGGGATGATGGCAGCAAATCCGTGTTTTTGTTGACAGAGAAACCGAGTTAAAATGAGGTAGGGGAGGGGGAGGAGGGGGTGGGAGGGGGAGGGGGGATGGAGGGGAAGGGGGAGTAAGGAGGGGGATGGAGGGGAAGGGGGAGTAAGGAGGGGGATGGAGGGGAAGGGGGAGTAAGGAGGGGATGAAGGGAAGGGGGAGTGAGGGGTGGGATGAGAGGAGGGGAAGGAGGAAAGTTGGGGACTAGGAGAGGCAAGGGGAGCGGAGTGAGGGGCAAGTGGTGTGAGGGGGGAGCGAGGGGCCCCCGGGAGCGGCAGGGGAGCGAGGGCCCACGGGGGGGGAGGGCCCGCGGACGTCGAAAGCAGGCGCGAGCGAGCGTCCCGCCAGCCAGGTAGGCGAGTAAGCGAGTAAGCGATCGGGGCCGAGGCTCGTGTATGCGTGCGTGTGGCACCGCGGCGGATGTTGACAGTGGCGCGGGGAGATAGCGGTCGTCAGTCAGTCAGTCAGTC